CTAGAAACTTTACTTTTAATTCAGTATCTTCAGCTAAAGATTTCAAGAAAAATGTTGTTGGAGTTATCAAATAGATTTAGAACTGTTTCCCATAGCACTGAGGGCCAACAAAAAAAACACAGCTAAGACATTCTCTCAGAGATCACAGCACTCATAAATAATACTGCTGTAGTTAGTGTTTTCCAAATTTATTTCTTTAACATTTGTGTTACTTATCAGACTACACAGTATTCTAGATGGTATTCTCTTTTTCGATTGAGAAATCAGTGTATTCAGAGCTCAAGATCTCATTCTGCCTGAACTCAGCAGAGACAGAAAGATGTCTCATATTGGAAGCTTATACCTACAGACTGTAAGCATAAATCACTTCTGAGCAAGTCCTGCAAGTTCTTCCCACCCCAGTACGTTGCTGGAAATAAGAACCTATTCTTTTAACTGGAAATATATCAACAATAAACTTCATAAAGCATTATCTCCTTCCCATAAACCATATTTTACCTATTTAGCCTCAACCGTATTTGACTGCAGTCAGTTTAGCAGTGTTTCCAGCCATAAATACAAGGGCCACAGTTCCGCTTTTTTGGCTGAGAAAGTGAAGTTGGGAATATTTACATACAGCATATATCCAACTTTGTATTTTAAATGCAATATGCAAATATTGCAAAGTCATTGGTGAAGATCTATGCAATGCTTTGGGGTTTTTTTGTTCATTTTTTTTTGCTTGTTTGTTTTACAAGCACTTGTAGAACAAAATCAAAACTAAAGTTTTATGCTGCATCATTTTACCCACAGTTAGAGGGCTGAGATTTAGTTAAAAGCCAGTGAATGAGTGGAAGCGGGGGGGAGGGGAACTGGCTGCATTAATCGCTCATTTTAGTTTTAAGAAGGCATCTATGAACACTACTAAAAGTATTAAAAGAATCGGCCTGCAGAAATAATAATCTTGTTTTATTTATAGTTGAGGGTCATGGGAAATCTACCCTGACATATATTTTTAATATATATATAAATACAACTTCCCAGATTAATTTTGGTAAGAGAATTCAAAGAATGAACAGCTATGGGAAAGTTTAAATTCTCATCAAATACACCTGAGTATCCTTGTTCAAAAATGGTTTATACTTCATCACTCATTAAGCAGCAAGTACTACAGGGTAGCTGCAATAAATATTTGTGGTAATCTGCAGTTTACTAGAAGTAGGTACATCTGAAGTTTTTACACAACATGTAGTTTGTGATTTGTCACTTGTAGTTACCATGTTGTTGAATAACTAAACTCAAGAAAAACAATCCATAAAATCACTTGTTTTCTTAAATGAGCTAATTAATGCAATCACTAACCTTTTGAGAAAAGGTCTTATGTACATGTACAAATCTGCTGCACAAGCTACTGAAATAACATCCAAAACTTCTTATCCCTTGCAGGGAAAAATATGATAGCAAGAGGATGCCTTTTCTATGTACTTACTGCTCTGACAATTGCTTGTATTAGAAAAATGATTTTGTCACTTCAGCTTCAGTTTAAAATTCTGTCTATTCTGACTACTGAATCAGCCATGGGCAACATCACCGACAAGCAATAAGGAACTGAGCCTGAACCCCAAGATACTCATCAACCTTACAGAAACTGTGTTAAGTCTGTGTTCTTATATGCCCAGTTATTCACCCTGCTGCTACACTCGTGAAGTAGTTCTGCCCCTACACAAACTGAAAGTATACAATATAGGTTAAGACGCTTCTATCTGAACAGCCATAGAGTTCCCAACTTCACACAATTGCTTTTTTGTTTGTTTGTTTTACAGAAATGCTAATAGATTTGAGTCACCCACACCTCAGAATTTGATTACTCACAGAAATAGCACCTTAATAAGTAGCATCATACTCTTTTTTTTTTTTTTCCTTTGATAGAGGTAATGTTTCTATTTTTATTCTTTGAGGAAAATCAGAGAAGTTGAATCTTTACAGTAAACGTGTACAGAAGCATATTCTCTAAAACATTCATGCTTCAGGTTTACCATTTTGAGGCAGCTTTCAGCTAGCCCCTGCAGAGTGTAGTGTGCTGAGACCAGAGCCTTGAACCACCGTTTTCATTGACAATAACAGTGACAACAGGAGCACGTGTTCTACCAGGTCATCATGTAGCCAAAAAAAAAAAAAAAGAGAGGAAAGGACACCTTTGTAATTCACTGAAGCAGAAATTTTATGTTCTCTGCACCACATTCAACAATCCACTCCATGCTTGCTGCTCCCTGCAGGAACCAGACAGACCCAAGGTAACACCACCAAACTGTAGAAACACGGTCTGTATTATGCTGGACAGACTGTGGTGCCTACCTGCATTGGGGAGCCTCAGGAAGGAATCCCTTTGTGCTGACTGCCTTAAGACTTTCTAGAAATGCTGCAGTTACCTTCATCAGCACTGCAGGTAATTTAAGTGCTGGTGTCAGGTGCCTGCCAGCTGGAATGCAGCACCAAGGGGCCCAACTGCTCACTGTCTCCTCCATTACACTTTTAAAGGCCTGGGCTTGGCCACTAATAAAGTCAGTGATTTATTTATTCAGTAAAGCATGTTCATTAACCATTAGGAGATGCTAAGGCAGCACTTCATCTCAAGAGAAGCACACGTGCATTGAGACATATTCTCTCTCATATGCATACATGCACAGGAATAACTCTGAACATCTTAGTTTCCTTATTAAGTGTTCTCTCTGTTATCTATTTTTGTTCCTATCTCTCATCCTTCTACCTCAGTCAAGAAGGCAACTTTGCATTCATTTGACTAAATATGTATTTCTACACAGTTCATGTATATGCTATTTAACTGTTGATTTTCAAATACAAATATATTACACGTATACTTAATTCAAAAATGATAACTTAGACCTATAATGGAATGAAAGACTATCCCAAACTGGAAAGGAATCATAAGGACCATCAAGTCCAATTCCCAGCTCTACAAAGGACCACAAAAAAAAAAAAATTCATCAGACCATACGTCTAAAAGCAATTGTCCACACACTTCTTGAGCTCCACTGCTGTAACCATTTTCCCAGGTAGTCTGTTCCAGTGCCTGATCACCCTCTCAGTGAAGAGTCTTTTCCTGATACCTAACCTGAACACCAGAGAGAAAAGATCAGTGCCTGCCCCTCTGCTCTATCACATGAGGAAGCTGTAGGCTGCCATGAGGTCTCCCCTCAGACTCCTCTTCTCTAGAAAGAAAACAAATGAAGAGACTTTGGCAACTTGCCACTCATCCCCTCTAGACCATTCACCATCTTTGTTGCCCTCCTTCAGACACTCTGATGGCTTCATGCCTTTTTTTTGTACTGTGGTGCACACAGCACCCAAGGTGAGGTTGCACCAGCGCAGCGTAGAACAGGACAATCAATTCCTTTGACCAGATGGCAAAGCCATGCTCGACGCACCCCAGGATATGGTTAGCCTTCCTGGCTGCATGGACATGCTGGTGATTCATCTTCAACTTGCTGTCCACCAAGACCCTCAGATTCCTTTCAGCAGAGCAGCTCTCTAATATCTCATCCCCTAGGCTGTACATATAGGCAGGGTGGCCCCTTCCCAGGTACAGAATCCAGCACTTGTTAAACTCCACACAGCTGATTGCTCAGCTCTGATTTTTCCTGATCTCTCTGGAAGGCCTCTCCACCCTTTACAAGTCAACATCTATAAAGAAACGTTATTCGCTCTCCACTGGAAAAGAGTTAGCATAATGATACCATTTCCATTTCTATTTGTCATCAACTACAAGGACTATTACTTCAGTTTGCCTGGAGTCAGCCAAGTTCCTGGTGCTTGGTTTCTAAGATAACAGTTCTGTTAACTCACTTCAGGAGAAACATCCACAACATTCAATTACTCTGAGCACACAGGGCACAAGGACTCGTGCACTTGGGCTGTTTAGATAGCCAGGCTGAAAGATACCAGAGATCATTTTAGCTTCTGACAACAACAGCTTCAAGGAGACTGATGCCAACCCTAAATTTTAGTGCTAATCAGTTGCTCTTCTTCACAGCTTTAGGATGTTCGTATAAACCACTTCACTCAACGATACCCAATTGGTTTTATAGACAAGAGAGGTGGAATGTTAGTTCATTTGCTCTTCATCACTCCTACCACCCAGTAACCAGAATTCCTAATTTCAATTACCATGTGTCCCAAGCTTAATTATTTCTGTCTTTAAAGCTATATAAAGCAAGGAGCATTTCTGGCTTTTCTACAATGACGGTCTTACAAACTTCAGTAGTTTTGACTAACAACAGTTAATTTTCTTCCTAGGGTATGTTTTGCTTCCTCTAATTCTCAGAGCCTCACCTGCAGCCTGGAATTTACTTTGCCAACTAATTCTCACTACTGATGCTGGTACACACGGAGGCAAAAGTAGCAACAGGACAGTTAATCAAGTGACTCACTGCTCTTCTGCCTCTTGCACTACAGCAGACCATTTGGAGATCAAGTTATGGTCAGCAGAGTCCCTCCTGCTGATGCATTGAGAGTTTCCTCAGCTACTCTAATTGACCACATATTAACTGCAATAGAAGCTACATTACAAAGCACGACAAGTAATTAAGATAAACGTGAGGCCCCATTTAACCTAACCAGCCTTTTTCGGCAAACATAAACCCAGTAAATAAATTCCAGCTGACTCTACCAGCCCCACACTTCCTCCTCAGAGGAGCAAGAAAGATGTTTGGGCTCTATGGTGCCTCAGAACCTCCCATATCCATAGGGGAGGGAGAAGTGCCTGCAGTTGCCTTGTTTACAGTCAGAACTTGGCCCTGCAAGGGACTGCAAATCCAGGACCAGAATAAGCTTCCCCCAGCTGACAGAGCTCAGAAGCAGGCCTGTTTACCACTCAGACACGTTCAGTACCATTGTTCTACTCGTGAAGAAGCAAAACTGCTTCTGACAAGTCCTTGGTGATATCAGGCAAAGCATTTGCACCGAGGCCAACAGTTGTACCCATGAAGAAGAACAGAACTCACCCAACTGGCAAAGGGGCCACATGGCTATGCAGCACTCCATCCCAGGAAGCAGCCTGGGTCCCAGAGATGTTCTCCCTTCCTTGGCTGGCCCTTATATGAGCCCAGGGAGGTCCACCCCTTCTGGTCAGCTGGGGAGTGCAGGTGCAAACAATTTGCCTGTGCTCCCTGGGCCAGTCACACCCTTTCACCAGGTGCTCAATCACCAGTTCAAGCTGTGACCTAACAGTTTCTCTACAAGCATGTATTCCCAGTTTTATGTACTGGCACACATGAACCCATTTCAGCTGCACATTGAGCTTAACTTGGTTGTGCACTTTCAGGACTGAAGACTAAAATACTGTAGCGTCAGTGGTGCTACTTTCCCTCCTTCTTCCTTCCCACAAACGCTGTTGTCATCTCGCCTTATGTATGCCATAGTGTAACACAGTTCATGTATTTCACCCTGCTGAAAAGCAGTTAGAACAGCCACATCGTTTCTTTGGCACAAAGCTTAGGAAGGATACCCAGTGGTGCACTGCAGCAAAGCAACAGCCCCTTGTTATGTGTAGATTCAATTGAAGACATAAAAAACTAGGCTATTACAGCATAACATTTTGTAGGAATTCCAAATTTAGACTTCCTAATGAGACGACCTGGGAAACATTTACCTCCCATTAATACAGACGTGTCCGGCCTGATCTTCCTTTTTCATAAAATGGTTCTGTGTGTGAAATGCCTTTAGAAGAACAAGTTTCCTTTCACTTAAAATATTCTAAAAATATTACTTCCTAATAAGGATCTCATTTGCATGACAAATTCTCTGTGCAGTGTCAGAAGCATCTTTAAATGAAGATGTCATGCTTATTCTGCACATAGCTATCATCCTCACTAAACCTTCCTGGTGACACGATCATTTCATTTTCATCATCATGTGCTCTGACACTGATAAAAGAATCATAGTTTTTTCACCAGTAAGAATTCTTTGCTCATGTATTAACTCAAAGGAATGCCATCCAGTTAAGTTCATCCCTGCTTTACTGGCCAAGTACTTGAAAGCAATTATTTACAAAGCTAAAAGGTGGTATGTGCACTGCCAAGTCTATCCTCTGTAGCTCTTGCAGAAGTAATGCAGCTACGCAGGCTTTCTACATTACAGATTTAAATAGAAGTCTGTAAAATCACCGAGGCTTTAAAAATTAAGAAAAATAGTACAAACATCTTGTTTTTTAACTTGTAGTATCTGCTTTGAAAATAGCAAAGCCAATATTCTTCAGCTGTCTACACAACACACACACAAAAAAAACAAAAAACAGGCACACTCACTGTGAGACAGCCTATGTGCAAAGTTTCCTATCTTGAGAGAAGAACTTTGAAGTTGCTTCCTCCTGACAGACACTCAGGAAACATTACATCCATCAGGAAGGTCAGACCCTGCCACAGACAGCAAGAGCAGTATTTCTTCAACCAGCCACAGGCCGAAAAACTTTCACTTTGCAACCCCGACTTTAAAGATGTCTGCTTCACAGCACACACTGTGCTTATTTGGAAGCATTAATTGGCATGAGAAAAGGCACTCTTCTTCAGGTATTCAAACATCACTACGTGCCTCTGACAGTCTCAAGGCCAGGTGACATGGAGTGCAGGGAGCTTTCAGTCACGCTTCCCTGAAAGGCATTGCACTGGATCTTCACGTGACGTGACCAAAGCTTTATGGTGGAAATAAAAGGCGTTTCTTACTGCAGCTGAAGAGTCTGAGCACGAGACAAGAGCTGCACAGCAGACAGCTCAGAAGCTGTATGCTGAAAGTTTAGGGAATTAACGAATGAGTCATAAAAGAACCCCCAAATAGACTGTTTCCACCGTTGCTGGACGTAGTTTTTATCTGCTGCAGTTTCCCACTTGAATCTGATATATCTCGTTTTCATTCTCTACCACCAAGCTTTTTCACTTTCTTACATAATAACAAATACATCTTTTACAGCCAAAGAGCATAGCTACCTGTTATGTAACTTACCTTTCTGGGGCAGCTTCACATCTTATTTTTACTGATAAGGACTTCAATGAAACCACAAGCTGTAATGATGCAAACAGAAGACAACCGTGCCTAAACATAAGCAAGCAGCTATGTTTATGCTACATGGAAAGTGACAAAGGTAAGAAATCTCATCTAATCAATAAGCATACCAGACTGACAATACTGAAGAAGCATATACAAACAAACTGAGGAAATACATATACAAACATCAACAAAACAATTAACTGTCAGATAATGAGGGGGCAATTTAAGTGTGCCAACCAGACGCATCACAGCTGAATTGGAAACAGCCAAATTCTACTTCTGAAACAGGCCAGGATATGTAGATGTGCCCATATGCCCAATATCAGATCTTCCCAGAGCCACAGTGATTCTGAACAGCCTCCTCTGGGTAGCACTTCAGACAGAACTCAGAGAAACCTCATTCAAACCTCTAAAATCCTGCACTGCAGTAACTGTCCAAGAATTAAAAGCTGTTTCTTTAGCTCATTCTACAACTAACACCAAACATGTACATAAATGTGATTTACACCTTTTTCTGGCTGCCCACTGATTTACACAGAGGAATACTGGGTATAACAGAGAGATACCTTGGTTTAGTGTCACCAACACACAGTGAGGCCATCAGCACTGGGTGCTATAAGCTTCCTGAGATGGTGTAGCAGAGGTCACAGAGCTTCTGACTGGCCAGCAGCAGTGGTTACAGAAACCAGCTAAGCTGAGTGCTGATGTATTTTGATCTCTCCAACCATAAGAAATACTTTCACTAGTATTTTTAATACATTCTATTCTCAGCAGGATGCTTAGCTTCAGCACTATAGATTTCTGAAGACATACAGACTTATTTCAGATTTCAAGAATTAGAACATGAGTTCTGATTTTTTTCTCCTACCATTTGCATAGAATCATAGAATTGTTTGTGTTGGAAGGGACTCCCAAAGGCCATCCAGTCCTACCTCCCACAATGAGAAGGGACAGCCACAGCTCCATCAGTGCTCAGAGCCCCAGCCTGACCTTGGATATCCCCAGTGATGGGACATCCACCACCCTTACCGTCCTTATTGTAACGAACTGTTAGTTAGGAATTAATGTAATAGTGATGTACACTTAGCAGTAACATTTAGAAACAAAAAATGTACTTAAAACATTGGCTGTAAGTTTGATGGCGGCAATAATAGCACAAAGGGTACAGGTGTTGCACTGCAATCATCTCCTCACAGCATGTGCACTGAATGTGTAATATTTTAAGAAATGCAAATAAGATTCTAAAAAGCCATTAAGTTGTAATTGGATTTAATATAATTAGCTGCTTTCACTTGCAATGTTATGCTGGAAAAAGAAGATAGCAAAAAAGAAACCTTGTGCATTCAGTCAGTGACTTGCATCAGTTCAAAGAGACCACGTAACAATCAGAAAGGTCAGACTTCTTCCTTCCATATGGTGCTAAGTGAACGGCAGCTCACAGCAGCACCAATTCTCTTTTTCAATCAGAGCAGCATTCTGATTTCTGCATGCTAAAAAAAGACCGAGAAGCTCTTCAGTCGGCACTGAGCGCTCTGCTGCACGCCACAAAAACAGGCTATCTGGGAACCTGCAGATTACGAGCACAAAACACTATTAAGATGGTGCCAGAAAGATTTATAAGCAATGCAGGAGGGACCTTGAAATTTCCACTTGTTCAGGGTTTGGCTCGTGCCAAGGAGGAACTCACAGCCTCAAAGCAGATGAAGCTGAAGTCACTGCATTCAGCACGCAGCAGTGGTGCAGGAGAGAACCTGCAGACGTGCCACAGAGAACAAGCCCATGAAAGGCAAGTTGTAAGCGTCTATGTGGGTACGAGAAGCGCGTTCAATGCGCACGTCTGAGGGCCTGCCGCTCCCCGCCGCGCGCAGCACCCCACGCCCGCGGGCGCGCAGTCCCGGGCCCCGCTGGCTGGGGGCGCTCCCTAATGGCGCCCTGAACGCTCGCTGTTATAGCGCCGCCTGGCGGCCGCGCCGCACACAACCCCGCGGCTCCAGGCCGCGTTGCACCGCATCGCACCTCAGCCAGCCCGACCGGCAGCAGCCGCTCCTCGCTCAGCGAACCCTGAGCTGAGCATCCGAATGCAGCCTCTGCTCAGGTCCGAGCGGAGTAGCACCCGGCGAGCGCTGCGAGCCTTCACGTGTAAAAACCCATCTTCGCAGCCAACAGCACCATGCGCTCCTGGCAGAGCCTGGGCTCATCTTCCTTCATCGCGAGCCACCTTCAGAATGAGGTATCCAAAGAGAGCAAGGTTTAGCATCCAGTTTTCTGTCTTGGATCTTTAACAGAAAAAAATACACATATGAGGGTTTTGTTGTTGTTGTTTTTTCTGAGTTTGTTTTTTAACTAGCTTTTGAATATTTCAAGTTTGATTACAATCTTCTTCAACAGAAGATCATTCAGAATTGATAACAAAAAGGATGAGGGAAGTATTCATCCCTCCCTTGAGCAGTGCCCATCACTTCCAACTGTATTTCAGGAAGTGCCTTCAAGGGCAAAATGGGGACCACATCCACACATATTTGAAAGGAAGATACTTGGCTGAAGAATAGCAGAGCTGGCTCCAGAGCAATCCAGCTGCACACCACAGCAAAAAGCCTGCCTGTATTTTCTGCCCATGGGTTAAATGGTTAAATGGGTGTAAAATGCAGACTCAGTAACACATAGTCAAGTGTGATGGCAACGGAGTATGTACTCATTGCATTGCCCAGTGAAAGCAGGGAAATGCCAGCATCCCTAAGGGGAGTCTGAACCACACAATCTCTGAAACTTCAAAAATAATTTTTTTTTAAATGGAAGCATTGGTTTATCACCAGCAAAATAGGCTGTATGTAGTCCGAGCAAAGAAACAGAAAAGATGGAAACAAGCACACATGGCTAGAAGACTGCAGCAACGTAAGCACTGCAATGAGCAGCACCATTTTCTCACTAAGACTTTGTTGTAAAGAATTTTTGAACAACTTTGAGCATCTCTAAATTACATTTTTTATCAAATGAGTCTTTTTACTGCCGCTGCTAGGGGA